GGAGAAAGCAATGCCTCAGGACAAGCTCTAGGTGTGGTTTTAGGGCCAGGGACCTCTCTTCAGGTATCCCCATGGCTGGGGGGGGCTCTTTTCACCAGTTCTCCAGTGTCCCATAATGACCCTGCATCCTGTAAAACCACCCTCAGCCAGAGCAGGGGTGTAAGGGCTGTGAGTTTGAAGGAGAACTGTGGGGTTTTGAAATGGATGCCAGCAACACCCACTGCAGATGAGAGCCACCAGCAGTTCAGATACCTCCACACCAAGCAGTGATTTGATGCAGGTCAGAACAAAGCTCTTTTTAAAGACCCCCAAGAACCCATGGACATGGATTTGGGTCTGTTTCCAGGGCAAGTTTCTCCAAATTCCAAGAAAATTGTCTATATCCTGCCCTTGTAGCCTGCCCTGGGAAATCAGTGCCATTCTGATGCCATTTGATGGGGCTCATGGTGACATCCATCCCCATCTGAGATAGTTATCTAACAGGAGTCTCCAAAGGTGGCCCACATAAGGGAAGCATCAAGGTAGGCAAGATATCTTCTCTAGGATGTGCCCATTTCTCTCTGGTGGCTGTTGGGAAAGATGACTTCCCTTTACTAGCTGCATCTAAGGAGCTTAAAGAGAAAATCTGCTTTCATTGAGGACTGAAATGAGGAAGAAAAACAGTGCTGAGACACCTTGGGGTGGGTGTAGCCTGGAAGAAGCTTCCTGTAGGCAGTGCTTCCTACCCCAAAGAAATCCACATCTCTAATATTTTGAATGAGCTGGAGAGATTAAAAACATTACATTTCCTGTGGCAAATGCTGATCCAGCATTCAGCAAGGTAACAAGAGACACAACAATTTTTTCCTCCATCCAGGTCCTGTGCATCTTGCTGATGCATATGAGGTCCTAGGGTGAAATCCCAGTTTATCTCCATTAATGCCAGTGATGTTGGATATGTCCTTGGGACCCCTGTTCTGTTCCTCTAAAAGTGCTGTTCCTGTAGCAAGCAAAGGTGGTTTAACTCAGTGCTGCCATGCCCCCACCACCTCACCCAACACGATGCTTTGACAGCGCTGACAGGGACTTTTCCACACTTCAGCACGAGGGTTAGTCTTGGCTGAAAAATCCCAGTAACTGGAGGTTAAGTCACTCCATCCCAAACCAAATACTCCCCTCTGCCAGACCTCTCCCACTATTCTTTGATTCCTCGTCTTTCTTTCCATGCAACACACTCACTCCCACAGGAAGGACTTTTAGGTAGTGGGACTCCAGTGTTTTTTAGCAGTGTTGCCATAAGGAGCATGCATGAGGAGACAGCTGGGACTCAGCATCTCTCCCTTGGGTAGGTGAAGGGAAGGCTTGGGTGCCACTGCTGGGTTTTGAGTGACCTGAGTTCTGTGACACTAACTTCAACCACTTATGGACATTTTGTGGTGGATGAGCACTACCATGACACCCTTATCCATGGCACCTTTATCCATTGTGCCCTCAAACCAAGCTTCTAGAGGGCAGGTCTGTCAATAAGAAAAGTGTGTACATACATCACTTCAGTGTGTTTGGTAAGGGATTTACATGCCTATAATGTGATGATCCAAAATCAGTTTGTTAGTTAATAATTGGATTGGATGATCTTGGAGGTCTTTTCCAACCTCAATGATTCTGTGATTCTATTCTATTTATTACAGTGCTGATTTCTTTGGCAGATTTTCTGTATCTCCTAGATTTGGTGAAACTTTAAACTTGGTGTATTTGTCTCTCAGACAAATACTCAAATAGATTTAATATGCAGTTTCACAGCCGTAGGCTGTCCTGGATAAATCCTCAGGATCTGTATGGTTCTTGTGCCATCTTTCTCATTACATCTCTGGTATTGCTCTGAACTTGAGTGTACCACTGCTGAGGATGCCTTCCTAACAAAGCTGAAACAAGCAGACATGCAGACTGACCTTCAGACCAAACAACTCTTCTGAATTATGGGTCATTAGGGAATCCAAATTTTGAATGGAATTTGGAAAATTTCCTGTAAGTTTTGCCTAAGGAGCCATCTCCTAGTCCTTCTCTTCATTTCCCAAGCATCCAAGTAGCAACTTGGACTGGTTAAGTTCTCACCAGTTTGTTCAGCAGCTGGGTTGGTTATCCAGGGTGTGCTGGACTCACAACTGTCACATTTACACAGTTCTCAGCACTAGTTTGAGGATAACTTGGTTGCAGCCAGGTGAATCACAGCTACAGCAATAACAGCAAGGGCAGGACAGCACTCACACTTAAACATCATCATCATCACCACCACCACCACCACCATCATCCTCCCCACTGCAGAGTCCTGTGAAAAATGCTGTTTGTAACCAGACAGTGAGAATGAGAACTCCACCTTGTTATTTTTCCCTATGTAGAAGGAATAAAGTGTTTGTTTTCCAGCTGGTAGTCATGCAGCTGCAGGCAGGCATCCAGTTATCAAACTGGGCTCTTCGTATCACCTACCCTGTTGGCAAACAAAGCTGTGCATGCCAGATAGTACCTCAGTCTTTTAGAACTGTGCTGTTCCCGTGATGTCTCTGAATATCTCCAGATAATTTAAGTACCTAACTGTGTGTTTCAGACTGGAGAGTGAGGACTGTAGAAAAACAGTATAAGAAAATGGTCTGGTTAGCTTTTTGATAGTGTTTGAGAGGTTTCTGAGTGGCTTTGTGGAGCAGGTCTACCTCTGCTGACAAAGGACTAACCTCAGAATGTTTAGGAGTGTCTCTGGGATGAGGATAATGCTATCCTTGATGTCTGCTATTCCCCCATCAGCCAGCCCAGACAGATAAAATGCAGTTGGGTTCACACAACCTCCCACTTCAGCAGCATGAAGTGTTTGTTCCTCTGCACTGGATTCTGGCATAGGCCATGCCTATCACTGCATCCACGGAAAATGCAGGAAATCCCTCGTGAAGTAGAGTTTCCACCTCATGTCTTCCCAACAATCATATTTCCCTAACTCAGTGTCCTCCTTTACAGGGATTTAAATTCAAGAAGGATTCTGCTTGAGGTTTTGCAAGGGCTTGGCAAACACAAAAGCCAAGATGTGCTGGCTGTTTTCAAAGACCACTTGGATTGAACAGCGATCAAAACCAAACTCTCTCCTTTCCAGCGCAAGTTCCAACCCTCTATCTGTGAGCTCCCCATCTTGCTAGCATGCATTTATAAAACAGCCCTGGAGAGAGAAGTTGGGGTAAGAATTTGCCACATAGCAAAACCCCGCAGTGCTTTTGCACAAGGAACAAGAGCTTCCAAGGGAGTAGAAGCAGTTGCTGTGTTTGTGTTGACTGGCCATGGTTTCCCACTGCTGGGGGTTTCCAAAGCAAATGAAATGTTATTCATCAAGGCAGGCTCCCTCCCCCGCTTTCAGTTGTTGAAAATACTACAAAGTAAGATGGAAAGAAACATGTAATCCTTCATCATCACAGTCAGGATTTACTTGTTTATTTAGATTCCCTGTCTGTTCCAAATGTTCTGCCAGAGAAAACCCATCCAGACTCCAGGAGTGCTTGACACACATAGAAAACTTTCTAGATGTATTTAGAAGATAAATCCAGCAGAATACATTGCCTGTCCTCACAGTGCAGCAGCAAGACGAAAGTCCCACATGCACAGTAAAATATCTCAGGATAGTTTTGTAGGGCAAAAAGAAAGCAGGAGGCATCTGAGGAGAAATTGATTTTGATGTGGATCTTCTATATCAGAAACTTTTTGGTGGAGCTATCCTTGAGCTCCAGGTACCTCGTCTTTTTCTGCCTGGAAAATGTGTTCCAGGTAGAAAAAAATGGAATTTGGTGTCTTTGTGGTCAGTAAAAGGAGAGAGTTGTGCTCAGAGGGTGATTCTTCCCTCTGCCCTAGGAGGTGCAAATCAGCCCCTGGAAGGGTGTCTCTCCCTCCAGGCACTACAGGGGAAATGCAAAGTGAGGAGCCCAGACCTAAGTCTCACTTTTAGCTGCTTAAGAGAAGGCAGCTGAATCCCATCCTGAGTGAGGGTGTGTGCTGGGAACTGACTACTCAGCAGCCTCAGCTAGTGTTTGTCATCCCACTGCCGTTGCTGCACCTATAAATAGGAAACAAGTGAGACCATAAACACACCCATGAGATAGGAGAGCTTTTGGGTCATCCTAGGATGAGGTAGTAGAAGATGAGCAGTTGTCCAACAGTTGTTTTGCAGTTGTACCATCACCCAGTCTAGTGGATTTGAAAATGCCCTGTGAGCTGTTCTTCTAGTGATGCCTTGGGGGCAGACCTTTGAAACCACCTCTCTTTTTTATTTCCTATCTAAGAGCCACTGGCATGAGTGAACGTCAAGAACTCGATGTCCCTTCTGGGGGCAATATTGCAGTAAGTTGTATAGGGTAGAGTGGGAGGGGCAGTTTTCAGGCCATTACCCTCTAAATACCTTATGTTTAAGTTATGGGATCGTGGATGCTCCTAGAGATTGCTGAAATCTTACCCTCTAGGGTTTTGTCTTAAACAAGCCAATATAATGAGGTGTTTAAGACACCTCTGTACATGGAAAAGCAAAATAACCAGTTCTGTGTTTGGCAGGCGCTGTCCTTATTTCACATGTTGATGTAAAGAGCAACGGGCAGGCTCTTATCAGAATCTGGGGTTTCTGTAGGGCTGCTTAGCTGAATCAAAACTAGAATTTCCAAAAGTGACACTCCTTGACCTGAACTCCAGTTTGGTACCAGAATTAGGGCAGCCTTTCTCCATAAACTTAATGTGGCCTCAGTGTACTGGACAGGTCTGACAAAACAATTCATAAAAGCAATTTTGCATCACTAGTATCATTAAGATCTACAATTTCGGGTCTTCACTAAATCCATAAGTGAAAGAGAGGATTTTACTTAAAAGGATATAAAAACAAAGTAAAAGTTCCCCCAAAAAAGCATTCTGCTTTTGAAAAGCTGTGAGGTGTTTTCTGCAAAGCCTGAATTAACCCTTGCTATGATAACTTTCTGTGCAAAGCTCACCTGCTGCTGTCCCCACAGCTCATGTGCTCCTCGGTGCAGAAGGCCCTGTTTGAGGAGGAGGACAGGGTGAAGAAGCTGCAGCAGAAAGTGGCGGCGCTGGAGAAACGCAACAAGCAGCTGCGAGATCGAGTGAAGAAAGTCAAGAGGTCCCTGCGGCAAGCCAGGAAAAACTCCAGGCACATGGAGCTGGTGAACCGAAAGCTCAGTGAGAAACTTTCTTCTGCAGGTGGCCAAATCCCCTATATTAACTCTTTGAAGCAGGAGAACTCCCATGGTACCTACCTGAAAGTATAATGCAAGGGTAAGTGCTCAGGCCAATGGTAGTGGCAAGTTTTGTCTGCATTAGATCAGGGTCTGGCCCTCACACCTTGTCTGTGCTGTGCTTCAAACCTTGCATGGAAAATGAATCTGAACTTGCTTTAGACACAGTGCCAGATTAAACAGGAAAGCCAGCTGGATTTGGCATAGCCCAAAGCCATGTCCTTGCTGTTCTCAGTGGATACAGGGCCTGGCAGTCATCTGTGCTTCTCCTCTGTCACCCACCTCCACCATCACTTTTAGGTTGTCTTTGATGGAAGTGCCAGCCCAGACCTCTGGGCCATTGCAGGCACTTGACACAGGAGCTCTTCCTGCCAGTTTACCTCCTCCTCATGAGCTGGGCAAGCAAGGCTTGGGATCTAGAGATGAATGTGGTGGGAAGGATGAAGGCATGAATGCCCTTCACTCTCTTATCACCCCCTTCACTCTCTTATCACCCCAGGATCTCAACCTTGCTTGAGCTTGACTGAAGTCTATATCCAGTGCCTGGGCATAGGCTATGTCCAAGACTCAGACAGTTTGTGCCTCTCTTCAGCACAAAATATAGATGTGCTCAAATTGTCTTAAGACTGTCCCTATATATCTTTAAATATTCTAAATTGACTATATAACAACTTTTATTTTTCCAAGAAGTGCCTCAAGGCTCTCAGTAACTTCCTCAGGTGCCTTTATCACTGGTCAGCCAACTGGGTTGGAAACCACATCCTTTTGGGACTGTGTCTAAGACCTAATCCTGCATTAGGAGTGGACTTAGCCTATGACTGGGTGTTGGATCAGGCCCAGCAGGCAATTTCAGATCCCATTCTCAAGCAGGTTTAAGTTACAGTGCAGACAAAGCTTCAAGTTTTGTAGTCACTGAGGTATAATGGAGGTTGCTGGGCAGCCTCAGTTACATTTAAAACCTGTAGAGACCACATCAATATCAACAGGGCATTAAAAATTTAGGTAGTTTATATATGTATATATTTTAAAAATCCTATAGAAAATATTTTTATTACACATTTGATATAGTCTTATTTCTTAAAATATGAAGTAAAACCTGTTTCTTGGTTATCTCATAAAAAATAAATGTCCATCATATCCTTTATTAGGCATTTACAAACTGACTTCTGCGCAAGCAGTGTGGGTTTAGGCATCAGTATCCATGGCTGATAATGTTAATTCTTGAAACTATCCCTGCACTTGGAAAAGCCCATATCAGCTTTCAAATGTGAGCTTCAGTCCAAGCAGAACACAGAAGCTAACTCTCATTGCCTTCCAGTTTTGCTCCTTTTGGAAATACTTTTTTTTCCCTTCTTGAAATAATATTGGCATTTTTTAAGATTCTGACTCCTCCTCAAGCTCCATTGGTTTCAAAGGCTCCTCCTCCCACATCACCACAATTTGAATTGTTTTCTGCTGGAGTCAGCAATGCTGTTTCCTGAGAATCTCTATAGAACTTAGGCTTCCCTAGAAGCCACCAAGAGATTTTAACTCCAGAATTTAAATCCATAGAAAAGTAACTACTCTTTATTGTTTTATTTTCTGGCTTCTAAACTACTGTTTAAATAAATGAACTGGTTTTCCTGGGATAGGTATTAAGAGCTTATGTTTTAATTTTTTGTTAAGAAAAATAATCCCTCTGGTTTTCATTAATTTTATAAGTGTTTGTATAAAACTGAGAAAGTATAATTCATATAGTTACACCTTTGCTATTCTTACAGATTTTCCAAACACAGTGTTGAATATCTTTTTCTTTTGGCTGGTATTTTTGTTGCTTGACAAAAACATTGGAATTTTCTTCCTGTTTCCCCCTTTGTCTTCCTTAAAAGAAAAAGTAAAACATTTTGTTCTCCTTGTAAGTTTTGTGAGAATTTTGTTTATTCTGCAAAGAAAGCAAAAAGAAACTCCCCAAATGCAAAGTCCAAATGCAACCCAAAATGTTCTCACTGGGTACAAAACCCAAAAAGGTTGTTTCCTCATAAGTTTTTTCCCTGTCATTCCTGCTTGGGTTTGGATCATTTCCAGAGATAAGGACTAGCAGTCATATCAGGTCACAAGTTAACCCTCTCAACAAGTAACAGGGGATGTCAAACCTAAAGAAAAATGCCATTAAGGTGTCAGCACTGATTGCCTGTCCCTGCTGGTGACAGTATCCAGAGAGTGACCAGTAAGGCTGCACATGCAGGAAGCACAAGATGAAGAAGGAATTTGGGTTATGTCTACACAGGCTGGTACACGTCACACAGGGCCTGCCTGACACATGCTATAATTTTTAGGCCCACTCCATAGCAATTTCAGGGATCAGCTCATCTGGGGACCTGCAAAAAGGGCAACATTTTATGCCATTTCCAAGAGTAATGGGAAGGCATGATTGAGTATCTTCCTCTTGAAAAGCAATAAGGGAGGGACTGAAATGCAGAAATGAAGAGGAGATTGGCATAGCTGGATGGTTTGGCAAGAGATGATGTAGAAACCCAGAAAACATCCTGGTAAGAAACAGAAAGACAAAAAAAAAATCCCTATTTAGTTAGAAACAGCACCAAATGTGTCATCCCCCCTTGAGAAGTTCAAAGATGCTTTACAAATTAGTAACATCTGCTTTTTCCAAAACATATCAGGAGCTTGAAGGCTGCCAGAACATCTGCAGGACCAGTGCTAGGGGTTTCCAGAGCAGCTGGACACAACTGGAGACAAGGATGGGATTTTTGGCATCTGTGTTCACTGTGGGGATGTTTTTGTAGACAAATAAATTTTTCCTGATGGATACAGAGGATGACAAGAAGTGAAAGAGCAAAATTAATAGTAACAGGACAGAGTAACTGTAGGAAAGAGGAAGAGAGAAGAGAGAAGAGAAGAGAGAGAAGAGAAGAGAAAGAAGAGAAGAGAAGAGAAGAGAAGAGAAGAGAAGAGAAGAGAAGAGAAGAGAAGAGAAGAGAAGAGAAGAGAAGAGAAGAGAAGAGAAGAGAAAGAAGAGAAGAGAAGAGAAGAGAAGAGGTGACAGAAAGAAACAGAAGAGGGGAAATAGTTCTCTTAGGGATTGTCCCCTTTTAACCATCAACATATCCCTCTTGTACTATTTCTTTCACAACTTTTGCAGGACTTGTGTGTCTCACCAGAGTGTAAGTGGATAATTCAGATGGTGATCTGCACCCAAAAACACCCTGAGTTTTTAGATTTTACAACTGAATTTTCTGGGGTTTTTTGAAGGTGGATATTTATAGAACAAAATGTATAAAATAAATTATTCTCATAATTCCCAATATCATCTCGATTTAAAAACCCTACCTGAATAACTGGGGAAGAACCACAAAGTGATGTAGGATTTACGGGGAGCAGACACTGTTAGTAGCTTTCTTTGCTCTTCAACACCAAAACCATTGGGAAAAAATTACTTCCTTATGTTTGAATAATATTTTAGGGAAATAGCCATGTTTTTCTGTTTGGGTTTTGGCAGAAGGGGGTTTTGGAACCAAAGAGCACATCAGTGTTTCAGAGTTCTATCAGTGAAGCACATTTCTCATACACAAAACCTCTCGCCAAGCTAGGTAATCTCCCATTAATGAGGCAAAGGATCCTAAATTAATTTCTGAAAGTAGGAGAAAAAGCATAGAGGCAAAACTGTAGAAAGCAGATAAAACTGAAACCATGTGTCATTCTTCTTTCTTATAACAAATCCAAGTAATTGCAAGGAAATTTCATTTTCCTCCCTATTTAACCCCAATTATTTTCATTTAATCACAGACGTGCCCCTATTTCCCTCCAAACCAGCCTGCCTTGCGTGTGAAACATCTTTTCTAGCATGTGCTTGGGTTCAGGGTTCCTAATCCCCTAAAACAAACACAGCAAGCAGCACAGCATGTTCCAGCACTCGTGGCACTGCTGGGAGGGCTCCTGGCATCCCAACAGGGATGTCTGGGGGCAGGCACAACAGGGATTTAGTGGGGCGGGAGCAATGCTGTCTTTGTGGGGAGTCATCTTTTGGGGGATCAGAATTTGGTGCAGATGGCACCAGGTTGGGTGAGAATTGGGAGCGTTGATTGGCTTGAGGGTGTCCCTGCAGTGGGAGCTGGACAGGTTGGTTTGATGGGCTGAGGCCAATTGCATGAGATGAAAGAAGGTGAAATCCTGCACTTCAATAACAGCAACCCCACACAGCACCACAGGCTGGGGGAAGCGTGGCTGGAAAGCTTTCCAGAGGAAAAGGACCTGGGGGTGTTGGTCAACAGTGACTGAGCATGAGCCAGAGAGGGCTCAGGTGGGCAAAGAGGCCAATGGCACCTGACTTGCACCAGCAATAGTGTGGCCAGCAGGATCAGGGAGGATTTTGCCCCGGTACTGGCCACTGGTGAGGCCACACCTTAAACCCTGGGTTCAGTTTTGGGCCTCTCAATTGCAGAAAGACCTTGAGGTGCTGGAGTGTGTCCAGAGATAGGAATGGAGCTGGGAAAGGGTCTGGAGCACGAGTTTAATGAGGAGAAGCTGAGGGAGCTGGGGGCTCAGCCTGGAGAAAAGGAGGCTCGGGGGACAACTCATGGTTCTTTACAATATTCAGAAAGAGGTCTGCACAAGGCTCTTCTTGCAGGTAACAAATGAGACTACAGGAGAAAACAGCCTCAAGTTGTGCCAGGGGAGGTTTGGTTTGGATATAAGGAAAAATTTCTTCACCACACAATGGTTGTCATGCCCTGGAAAGGGCTGCCCAGGGAAGTGGTGGAGTCACTGTCACTGAGGGTGTTGATAAGACATGTAGATGTGTTACTTGGGGACATGGTTTAGTGGCAAACAAGGCAGTGGTGGTTTAACTGTCGAACTAAATATTCTTTAGGGTCTTTTCCAACCTAAGTGATTTAATGATTCTATGAATTTGTTGGTTTTCCATTAGATGGGTTTGTTGACTTCACACCACTCCTGAGGTGCCTGATGGTTTCTTCTGGTGAGAGTGTTCCAGCAATTGTTGGCTGCTTTGGTTAATGCTGATTGCATGCAATGGCATC